CCCCTGGTCAGGGGGGGCTTCGGGGGGGGGGCGAAGCCCCCCCCGAATATTAAAAAGAAAATTTCTAAATCGTCAAAGACGACCGCAACGACAACAACGGTTATCGTAGACACACACAGGAACGAAATCTTGATCTCCGCCTCCAATATCAACCTGCTGCTGCTGCTGCTGCCGCCGCTGTCGTCCAAACCGATTGTCGTTCCCATGTGACGCAGAAGATGAGGCTTTCGCGCATAAGGACAAAAACCAGAAAATCAAATGCAATCTGATTTTGTACTTGTGTGCCGAAGCTCGCCATCCATCGTGCTGCTAAATCGAAAACGTTGATCCGCTCTCGAGTCCGCGATGATTCACACGCGTTGTCTCACTTTCTCCGCTCAACTCGCCCAGCTACTCCCTCGCTTCTGCTGCTGTAGGTAGATGCCTTGGTGAGAATTCTCCGCGATGAGTGCGTCGAAGCGTGCAAGTTCACTGAAAAAGGAGAAAAAACATATGTTCAAATTCAACACATGTTTTTTCTTCTTCCCCGCTGAACTTGCCCAGCTACTCCCTCGCTGCTGCTGCTGCTGCTGCTGCTCGTCCTCCAGCTTCCGCTCGGGGGAACCTGAAAGAAAAACCAATTATTAACATAAAATACGCGTTTGTACTCGTCTGTGTAGCCGCTCCCGCTGGGTCCTCATTTCATGACGTCGCGGTGCATGCGACGAGTTCCGTGGAATGAAGCAGAGTAATGATGTTGTAAAGTATTCTATTACTTGATTATGTTCTTTATTTATTTTGAATTTGCCTCTTGATGTTACCACCATCTATGTGCGCTATGCTTATGTATGTCGGAAGTCCTCGGCTTTATTCGGATTCATTCGAGTGAGACGAGAGACACGAGCGGCGCTGCGAACGGCAGAATTGATCTGTGATCGAGACGAAATTGTCACGCCTCACGTCGTTGGCAATGTATAATTAAAGGAAGTAATAAATTTAGTATTACTTATTAAATTACTTATTAAATTACTTATTAAATTACTCAGTATTACTTATTAAAAGGTGTGTCATAATTTCTGGACCGGAAAAAACAAACGAGAATCCATAGTATTCTGGATCCTCAAAAAACCGCACATTGCACGGTAAGGAGAACATTCTTCAACATAAGTATATTACGACGCCGCGAAAGAGAAAGGCAGCGTCTCGCAGAAATTAACGTAAACAGAATAATGAGAAGAAGATTAAGAGATATGCTCGATCCGTTTGCTCTGCCAGAAAATCAATTTCTCGGACTATATTGTTTAACGAGAAATATGACGATAAATTTAATAGAAGCATTAGAACCATATCTTCCTCCACGAAGGAAACTTTTTGCAATTCCAAATGAGTTGAAAGTAAAGAAACGATATTATATATATATATATATATATATATGTTCGAAATTGTAATAAAGCTCCTCGCTACCTTGTTGGTTTTCAAAATCCGCATTTCTGTTCAAACAATTTCTGTTCAGCTAACCGACGAGTCCCTCCCCCTCGTGTTTTCGCAAATTAACTTTGCGAGTCCAAGGAGGGGGAGAGGACACGTCGGTGAGCACTATTTGTGAGCGTGCTCACCTCACAAACTTCTGTGAAACATCTGTGGGCCCACTTGTTTTTCGCACTAACCGCGGCCGTGACTTGTCGTTTTCAACGACAAAGGTCGTGAGGGAGGCATGGCAATCTCGCGAGCAGCTGCCGCTGTCTCTTATACACATC